CCGGAGTTTTTCTCTCTGAGTATGCAGTTCAATAGAAGTAAAAACGTGATATTCGTGATCAGCTCGACGAGATGAATGAGAATATGTATGATTAAGTCAAAACAAAAGTTTGCTTGAAGTTTGAATTACGGGTATCTTAGAATCGATACAGCTTCGTGTGCTTAACAAATCGGTGAGAAAATATGATTTGAAAAGTACTTCCTTTGAAAACAAAATTCTATTATATTGTTGGAAATCGAGGCTTCATCCCAAAATGTCGGGTGAGATTTTTGATTTTGTTTATTCAATGTCGATAAATAATACCCCAATCAAGATCAAACTTTAATCCTTTTAGACCTCATGAGGGTTGATATTTGGTAATGAAATAAAACTGAAGTATTGCACCGTTGAAGAGGAATTTGAAAAAATATGCTAAAATATCCGGTAAGAGTTTTAAGAAAGAAATCTCCGAGATTTCCATTTTTCCATTCAAAATAAGCGTGTAGAAAACTCAGTTTTTGATCCTGATTCCGAATATGATATTTTTGTTGTTCAGCGTTCTGATCGAGAAAATTGAGAATTACGGACAGAATTCCGACTTTTCGCCTCTGATTTAGAAAACATGAATTTTCTCAGCAACGAAACAAAATTTTAAAAAAAGATCTACATATTTTTAAAACTGGTCACCTAGCCTATCTAATGATATGTGAACGAAACTCAAAAATGTTAGTTCAGTACAAGCAGTGCGAGTAACAAGCAGGGCCGTAGATAGGAAGTCAACCTTGGGGGAGGGGGGTAAACAATTTTTTGGGAGTGTAAGAAAAAAATTTTCGCTATGCGACCAAAAATATTCTTAATTTCCGCTGGGAGCAAAGGATAAATTTTTATTTTTGGGGGATGTATACCCTCCCATACACACCCGCAATTTACGGCCCTGAGTAACGACTCTCAAGAGTCGTCCTTGAGCTAAAAGTTTTCGTTTTCAGCATTTCCAATCGAAAATCTACGTTATAAAATTTTTGGGAGTAACATCATCGGATTTAGTTCATCAAGATCTACCGATCCATGCATAATACCTATTATTTCCCTGAAGTATAATTGGGTTTCTGCACAGTCACCATGGGAATTCAGCTGGGTGTAACACCGAAAACAAATTTTCTCGCTGTTTTGATTACAAAGCATTGGAAAAAAGGTTTCTACTTCACATCTGGTGTAGGAAAACTCAACCCGACACTCTGAACATCTTTTTGTAAGCAACTTATTTTTTGAAAATTTCTGAAAACTTCCAAGAACTTGTCCGCTCTCCGTAGGAGATGGAAGTGTAAGATTTATTTTTATAGATCGGATCGTATGGAAAAACATCTGAAAGTTATTGTGTTTAGGAGACCAAAAGGCGGTGTTTACAGGTGTTGAATATCATTCTTTGGTGTTTACAAACACTTAAAAAACACTTTCATGTGCATTTTTTTCTTCTGATCAAAAAAACTTTTTGTGGTTTCTTTTTTTCTATCTCGAAGTTACGTTACTATAGTGACACAAGGTACTTTGTATTTTATTTTTATCATTAACTTTTTTTTTGATTCGTTTTTATTTCAAACTGTGTTGTTTTCAATGTGTCACCTCCCTAATCTGATGAAGTTCGTTATAGTTTGTGGAAATGTTGACATTTTTTGCTCCAGAGAAGCAACGATGACAAGCTTTTTTTGCTAAATGGTCTGATGGCTATGCCATTCACTCATACGTATATATAAGATATGTACAAAAATATTCCAAATCATTTATTTTTCTTTGATTAATTAGAACGGCATAAAACTTGTAGAAAAATCGTAAGTAATTTTGAGAGAGTACTACTTCTCACGTAGTTCACGTGAGAAGTAGTAGTCTTTAGTTAGAAGTATTGAAACGAAATTTTTGTTCTTCTATTCATATATTTTATTCAATGTTGGCTCTATGTTTACTTTTCTCGTTCATCTAATCTGCCTTTAAAGTGACAGTATGGTAAAAAAATAATTTAAACATAATAGGAAATTGAAAGTTTGTTCTAAAAAATCAAAATTGACAAAGATGTATCATTATTTGTGAGAAAGTTAGTTTTTTGCTAGATGTTTTAAAGCAAACAGCAGAAATTACATAGTCCACATATAATCATCTTTCGTTTTTCTGCCTTATTCTCTTTGTTTTTCTTTTATTCTATGTTCTTTTAAAATTACTTACGATTTTTCTATCAATTTTATACCGTTCTGACGGAAAAAAATAAATGCTTTGTTTAAAAGTACGATTTTGTTGGAATCTGGTATATTTTTCAACATGCAGCTTCAGTTACCCATGCTTATGTTTGTGTAAGGAATATATAAAAGAGCAAATACAAATAAGTAATTCAAGTTTATATACAAAAGGCACTTGTTAAATAAATCATAAAAGATACAACAGAGGTAACACAAATAAATTAAAAAGTAACTACTTTTAAAGAAAAATTTTTTAAAGAAAAAGTAACAGAAAAAAAAATAAATTCACACATTTTTACTGTTATCTGGTCGTTCTTGTGCCATGGTTAGTTTATAATAAATGCCACGTTTAAGCAATAATTCATCATGAGAACCTTGTTCTTTTATTTTCCCTACATCGACTACTGCAATTTTCTCACTACCCCGAATTGTTGATAATCGATGAGCAATTGTTAAAGTTGTTCTTCCGGTTCTCGCTGTATCGAGTGCTTCTTGAACAATCTAAGTCAAAGAAAATAGACATAGAAATGATTATTTGACAGAATATACTAACCTTTTCACTTGTATTATCCAACGCAGACGTCGCTTCGTCTAAAGAAATTCAAGGAAATGTATTATTATTTTCTTATACGAAAGAAAACGCTTATGAACATGTTTGTTCAAATAATCGGGCTTACCTAGTAGTAAAATTTTTGGATTTCTTATCAAAGCGCGCGCAATAGCAACTAGACAAATAAAATAGCATATGGACATATCCGTAGTGTGAAAATTCGAAGACACTAAGCTTACTACGCTGTTTCTGTCCACCACTTAGTTGTCCGCCTTTAGCACCTGCCAGGGTTTCATATCCCTACGAAATAAATGTGAATATTTAATTATACATTAGACTTTCAGAATACAATAGACATACTTGTGGAAGGGTTATAATTGTTTCATGTATATTGGATTTTTTAGCAGCTATTTCAATTTCTTCTTGTGTTATAACTTTATTGATGACTCCATAGGCAATGTTCTCACGAATAGATAAATTGAACAGAACGGGCTCTTGTTGAACTAGACCTAATATAGATCGTAGCCAGCTTATATTCAATGTTTTTATATCGTGACCATCGATAAGTACTGAACCGGTCAATGGATCGTACCATCGTTGTAAAAGAGCAACAGATGTCGATTTACCACTTCCTCTAGATACAGTTAAAAGAGATATTAAGTATTTTTATACTTCTATAGACAGTTTAATGTACATACGACGGTCCCACTAATGCGGTAGTGACATTATTTGCACATGTCAGATTGAAATGTCTCAATATGCGAAGTTTGGGTCGAGCTGGATATCGAAAACGAATATCTCGAAATTCAATGTTACCAGTGACCTCAGACTATGTGTACAAAAATAATTAAGTTTAAATTTAAAAGAATTTTTCTTTTTTACTGTAAATAGCTTACTAAAATTAATCCTTTTGGATCATCTGGATCAATTTTTGACGCTTTGTTATTTAATTCCATTATTCGGATTGCACTTGCCTTCCCTTTCGAATAATTTGGAACCATACTAGCACTACGACCAAAGGACATGGCTGCAAATGTTACCACAGCGTATACTCTGAAAGAAAAAGAAACATATGACAGAAGTTCTAAATACGTTTCAAATTATACTAATACCTAAAAACATCTTGAAACTCCATCTCTTTATTTTGTACGAGTACAGATCCATAGCCAAATGCTGCTGCCTGTATAAAGCTCATCATTGCATTGGCTATCGCGTTGCCAGCTGCCTGATAATGAAGTGTTACCATAGCATGTCTAAAAAATCACTTTACTTCAAATTTGTGGTAACTTATAATAAAACTTAAAACTATACCTAAAATCATCGTCGAACGCACGTCTATATTTTGTAATAAAATATCCTTCTTGATGTAGCGCAACCACTGTTCGAATATTTTCTATTGCTTGCGTTGCAAACTATAGAATAATAAAAATATGTAAGTCATATTTTGAACGTGTATACTAGTACTTACTTTTCCTCCCTCTTCAGCATTTGTTGTTCCAGTTTTCTTTTGTCCTGCTTTTGCTAACGATTGTCCTTGAACAATCCCAGTGAACACCATCAACGGTGTGAAGCATAAGACAATAAAAGTCAATTTCCAACCGGCTTCGAAACTGATAACTAATGCAGTCACCAAGGCTCCTACTGCATTTAAGATGGCGGCCAATGTGGGACCTGTCATGCCTTTAAGCGCAGCTGCATCGCCTGACAATCTAGTCACCAGTGCACCTAAATTATTTTCGTCCAAATCAAAATAGCCAATCTCTTGTTTTAACATTGATTGAAAACTCATTACACGCATTCTCATTGTCAATGCTTCACCTGATTTAGCGAATGCATACGATGAACAAAAGTTAGAAATAGCAGCAGCCGCGCCAATTAAGAAAATAATATAGGTAAATTGTCTAGTTAGATTTTCTTGTTCTTGTAAACTTGGATTAGAAAATATACCATATATTTCAGAAAAGATCAATGCAAATGCGGGAGTAACAGCGCCAAAAGCAAGGGATGCAATACATCCAATCAAAATCCAGTACCATTCTGATGAATTCAGTTTTAATATCTTAATAATAAATGGTTGACGAAAAAAGCCTCCATCTTCTTTGCTCTTCGCCATGTTTAATTCATCATCCCCGATTTCTGAACCAAATTCACTGTTAATAGATTTTGTTGATATAACTGAACTACGTCGTAACATTAACGACATACGTCTTGACTGACGACGAGCCACTTGTGATTTTTGAGCTAAAGGACAATGAATATGATGAAGAACAAAAATCATCATGTTACAATAATCTCACCTAATGCGGCTTGTTTAGCTAATTCTTCTTCTTCTTGGTCTTCTTTATCGCTATTTTGATCCTTCTCCTTGTCTTTTTCCGTTTGAGCTGTGACCAGTTCATAATAGAGACCTTGTTTTTGCATCAATTCATTATGTGATCCATATTCGACAACTTGACCGCGTACAATTCCAACAATTAAATCAGCATTTTTGATTGTTGAAAGACGATGAGCAATTACTATCGTTGTTCTTCCTTCTTTCGCTTTATCTAAAGCATCTTGTACGACTTTTTCACTTCTATTATCTATACAAATGAAATTATATATAATGTATGCAAAAAATTTTTTTTTTCGTGAAAATAATGTTCTATTTATTTACCCAAAGCAGATGTGGCTTCATCAAGAAGCAATATTCTAGGGTTCGAAATGAGGGCTCGAGCAATTGCAACTAGAATTAAATGAATAGCAAAAAGCGTAAAAATAACTACTGAACTACGTATGAATAAGCTTTTTTACCTCGTTGTTTCTGACCACCAGAAAGTTTGTCACCGGACGATGTTTTGTAATTCTGAATTAGGAGAAAATAAACATAAAACACAAAGAGTTTATGTAAAAGTTACAAATTTTAAGTTACGTTTGGAAGTTCCATAATAAAATCATGAGCATTGGCTAGCTTGGCAGCTGCAATAACTTCCTCATCAGTAGCATCTGACTTTCCGAATCGAATGTTGTCCTCAATTGAGCCGAAAAATAAAACGGGTTCTTGACTAACAATACCAATATGTGAACGTAGCCATTTTATGTTTAATGAACGTATATCACGACCATCCAGCAAGACCTTTATGATTGAGAAAACATTTGATTAGTTCATTGCGAAGGATATCACACGGATCCGCCTACCTGTCCTTGGTCGGCGTCATAGAACCTTTGAATGAGTTGAATTGTTGTGCTTTCTAAAGAGATATGCATGAGTATAGAGTGAAAAATTAAATTCATATTGCATTATTATTTACTTCCACAGCCCGAAGGTCCGCATAAAGCCACCGTTTTGCCGGACGGAATTTTCATGGACAAACCATTTAGAATCTGAAAAGAGAGATTCACATTAAGAACTGACACACAATATATATTAATTCTAAGAACTTTGTAAGAAGGAGAGAATTTTTATCATTTGACTTGAATTTTTTATGCAGATTTCAAGTCTGCTATTTCAGTTTTTTGATGAAGACTCTATGAGCAGTTAAATCGATTAATGGTCGACCCTTCTGACATATATCTTTGTTTTATTATTCGATAAATTTAGTATGAGTCCACGTTGTGGAAATATTTGATGGTATTTCACTTTTTAATTCAACAATCGATCTTACAACTAATCTTCCTCTAACATTCTCAAAAGATAAAATCTGTTCGACAATCTTTCAATTAAGAACGCACAGGAAACGAAAGGAAAGCGAAAAATGTTTCGCACCGAAAGATTGTACTAAATCTTTTAGTTCGTGACATAGATACTAAACCCTTTTTGTCATTTACTATTTAAGAGTAAAATTTTCTAGAATAGGGAAATAATTCTACAAAGCTTTTAAATTAGAAAACATACCGGTGCATCTTGTCGTGCTGGAAATGTAAAATGAACATCTTTCAATTCAATATCACCGATTAATATTTCTGGTTTTTCGCCTAAGTCTGAAAATGCATCTATTTTTGATTCCTAAATAAAAAATGAATCATCAGATTATCTACATGTATTATTTCTGAAAAGAATGACCATAACACGTACACGCTTAATAATATCAAATACGTATGCTCCCGAGCCAGAAGCCACGGCAAATGCTTCAACATTTGGAAAAATATTTGATAGACTGAATATTGATGTTAAACATAAAATAAATATCTGAAAAAGAAAATTAGGTTAATATGAAATAGAGACAATAGAAAACAAATCTCATACCACAATCATGCTACCAGGGGTGTAGTTATAACACTCTGTTCTAACTAAAACTGGACCGTACCAGAAAATAATTGCAATGCCACCATAAAGAAGAAGATTAACAACTGCTTGTGTTACACCTAGCAAAAGACCTTTTTGGATTCCAACATTTTTTCCCGTGATCAAATTTGACTGATATCTATTATAAAAAAAAGTTAGAAACAGAGTTTTGATAATACAACAGATAATTATTTTTCTTACCGATCAACTTCTTTTTTTTGTCCTTGAAAAGCTGTCACTGTTCGAATTGCACCGAGAACTTCTTGAGCAATTGCGTTAGCCGTACTATATGCTTGCGTCTCCATTTTAGTAAACTTAATTATTAACTAGTTTTAGAAAAAAAAAGAACATTAACTGTTGCATATTGCTATTAATATATGTTGATTATGTACATACTTTTACCATGACATTGAATGTTATGACAATTAATGGAGATATACTCAAAAATACTAACGTCAATTTCCAGCCTTCAAAGAAAAATCGTACACATTATTGAAAAGAAAAGCTTCTTCATTCTCTAATCCTACGTTCTTATCCAAGTAAAATTGAATTATGCTCTTTTTCTACAACAAGTTGAAACATGAGGAGATATTCTGAACACGTCAGTAAACACGAACGCCTTCTTCATATATCTTTTATTTATTTTCTGTTTACTATATAGAAATACGATCTGAATTTCTATTGTTGATGTCATTCACCTAATAATGGTTTATCAGTAGAAAGTTGATTTACAGACGTGTGATTTAACTTAATTTAGATTTTTTATGAATGAAGCACACACCCCCACTTCTTAATTGAGACTACTATTTTTTTTCACTCACTTTCACTTGGCTGCACGTCCTCTGATGGTTGTTTGATGTTAATTAAGACTTGCAAATTGAGACTATATTTTTATCGAAAAAGTGGTCTGAAGTTGAAGACTCAGTGCAGACCCAAATGAAAACTTTGCGTCTAAGTTGAACAATGGGGTTTAAATATATATAATGATACATGTTTGAAACCAGATATAATATATCTGATATGTGTTATAAATTTTGACTAAATTTATAAATCTTTTAAATTTTTCATTAAAATTAAGAAGGTTTTATCAATCTAGTGATATATAAATACTTATAAATAGTAGGAGTGAAACAGTTTCACTTTCTAAAATTCCTGAGAGCTGATGAGAAGAACTGATCACTAGTTCAGTTCTTGTTGAACGGAAACTGTTTATCAGTTCTGCATTTAGTGAACTAAACAAAATCAATATAACTAAGTTTCGTTTAGTTAATTTGATTCTGAATTCTTGAAAAGAACTGGTAAGTAGTTCTCATTCAATAGAAGTTAAATGGAATTGTCTCACCCCTAATAAATAGAGAAACTTTAACCTATTAGAAAATTTAGTCAATTTATTGAAACATTTGATGCGAATGTTGAAATGTTATGAAATGACTCTTTCTCATAGTCTGCATCTCCACGCTCTCATGTATGCGCGATGTCAGATATCCTGGATCGGACAAACAGATGAGGGTATAATGAGTAAGATTTTTTTATTTCTCTGCGAACTTTATCGCTCCTACTTTCTCAAATTCATTATAAAAGATTTTATTAAGATTTAAGGGTACCTCTCCCCCGTAGAAATGCTGTGAATTGAAAACTAAATGTCACTAAGCCTTCATATTTTCAGAACTGATTGAAAACTTTAATGAAGCACTTTTTCGTTTTTTGTTTCAAATTTTTAACTATTGCTGTTCACCAGTTTTCCAGAAAACTCACTTTTTCATTGGACCACATTACAAACCCCCTTACATCTCATCCGATCGAGTTAAAAATTTTACCAGAGATACTCAAGATCATAGTGCAGAGGCAAAATCTTTTTAAGATCTTTCCTGATCGAAATACTGAGAACCGTCTCAAAAACCAAGTCGTTCAATTTTAGAAACTGTATAACTTGGTAAAGAAAGGTCTAAAATAAAATTCCAAAAATATACCTTTGCAATAGTGTCTTGACTACCTCTGATAAAATTTTTAATTCTATTGGATGAAATTTAAGATTGAAAAAACTCTTCTTTAGGGTATAAAGTGCAGTCAACAAACGTTTATCAACGTTCACTTGTTTACAAATCGAGCGCAACTAGCAATGACTAATTTTCAAATATTTCCTTTATAGAGAAGTTACTCGTTCATTCTCAAAACATACGCTCCTAAACAATTATAATTTATATATGACTAACCTATATACAGTGAATAAATTATGCTTCCAAGAATACGTGTTAATAGAGCAATAAAATCGGCAACTTTGAATCCTATGCCATCTCGTATGTTATCAATGTCTCCAACTAATCTACTAGATAATTCACCTATTAATAAACAAAATTAGGAGACTAAAGTGCATTCAAATACATTTTATCACTGACCAGCATTTCTACAATCAAACCATCCAATGTGCTGACGCATTATGTTTTCAAACAATGCATATCTATCAGTCAAAAGAAAAAATATAATTTATTTTCATCTGTTTTCTAAATTAAATAAACATATACATACCTTATTCGTCGAACTTGTCTCTCCGCTGCTATCATCTGCCAAAGAGAAAAACACAGAAAATAGTTTCACAAAAAAATTATAAAGTAAAACAATCAGACTATTTATTTACATACCCAACAAGCGTAAGCGGACCAGTACAGGACGATGGCGCATGAACCTAGAATGGCTAACCATTTAATGATTCCATTAATTAAAGCAAATGGATCTGACGCGCCAGACGATGACGCTTGAATACTAGAAATAGAGATAAAAAACATGACATGATTTTTGCTAGATCTAAAAAGCGAGCATTCAAGAAAACATAAAGACGTTTTAATTAATAAAACTTAAAGATTCTTGCGCAAGTATTTCGAATTACTATATACGGTCAAAAACTGAAACATTTTATGAAAAGTATAATAAAAGACATACAGATTAACTCTTCTCAATTATGTACAATGAAGCATATTCGTATTATTAATCAGTATAGTTAATTTTTGATATATAATTTAATATGCTATTTAATATTTCAAATATAAATATTATGCTTTAAAAAAGCAATAAATGATCATATTTTCAGTACTTCTAACTCCTACCAGGAAGAATACAAGTGAATAGCGGCCTCAGTGCTTAAAAATGCTTCCACTATGGATCAATTATATAAAACGGAGGATTAATGTGATGAGACTATGATTCTGTAGCTCAATAGTTAAAGCATCTGGCTTGTAAATCAGAGAGTGCTGGATTCGAGTGACATTTTTCTTTACGTTTCTTTCTAAAATACAGTTAATATATAAATATTACAATCAATTACCAAAGTAATGTGCAACCACTACTTTATGCAAATATATTGACAAGATTCGACATAACAATGTGACTCTCATAAGAAGAAGAAAAGAACAAAACATAAATTACCATCCACCAGTTGATTGTGTATAATTCGCACCTGATTGTTGCTTTCCAGCGTCAACAAATCCATTGATAACAGTTTGAAATATGAACATTTGTATTGGCATTGCTGCCCCGCATGCTAATCCAAAAAATGTCCCACAAACCATTAAAAGAATATCCCATTTATCTGCATATTTGTGCTGTAAAATAATTGACCGAAAAAATAAAATTTAAGGAAATAAAATTGTGATCTATACTAACAATTTCAAATGGTTTCAGTTTTGGTTCAACTTTTTTAGTTGATTCAGTGTCAACGGGTTTTGGTTTCTTTTTGAAACAGCTAGAAAATCATATCCTTATGGAAAATGTGCATATAATGTTGTGTATCCTATATATTTCTTACGGTAATTTATGTAAAAATCCATTCTTTTCCTGTGTCGATTTTGGTTTTTCATGGCCATTTGTTAATGGTGTTGTGCCATTTGTTAATGGTGTTGTTCCATTTGAATGTTGAACAAATGTCTGATGTTTTTCATTGTCAACTAAATTTTCGGTACTTCCAACATCATTTAATGGGAAAATTTTATTCGCTGCTGTGTTCGGCAGTTTCAATTTATTATCCATGTTGTGGTTCAAATTGAAAAAAAGTGTTTTCTAATTTTTTTTGTTTTGTTTCAATACCATATTTATAATACTAATCATTCCTAGTTTATGCATGTTACATCATGTTCTCTTCTTCTTTGCATTGAAGAACGTTTTTTTCGAACATACTTTTCAAGAACGTACTCAAGTTCATTCTTTTCTATAAAAGTTCATTGTAGCAGAAAAAAAAATTTATCTGTATATACCTGCTTTTACTTTTTTGTTAAAAATGTTTTTTTCTCTTCCTGTGTAATGTGGTTCAGTAAAAAAATAAAATGTAGATGAGTGGGGTGGGGTGGTAAAGCGTGTATTTTTCACATGTTATCCGGAGATGTAATTTTTTTAATCAGAAACAGTTCTTTCTGATTAGAAATGATAGTCTATCACTAAGCAAATAATCTTTAATCAAATTCTCTTTTGAAAAATATTTTTTTCTACTGAAAATTTCTTTGCCCGAATTTTTTCGAAAATTTTTTTCTTTAAAAAAGTTGCGTGTTATACGACGTTATTGTTTTTCGAAATTGTTCTCAGACTGAAAAAATCGGGTTTTGCCTGAAAAAGAGCGGACTTTTGGGAAACCTGTCATACAGTTCAGAAACGGTTGCGCTAATTATATTGATACACGACTAGAAGAACGTTATGGTTGGGTTTTAAATAGGTGCTGAAGGATGCGCGCTAATTTTACTAATCGTAGCTATTCGAAAAATCACTTAAGAAAAATTAAAAGAATTTTCTTCAATATTAGGCATCTAGCAAAAAGGGAAATCATATCACCGGACTCCGAAATTTTCAAACGCGATTAGAGTCCGGGGGATCCCCCGGACTCTAATCGCGTTTGAAAATTTCGGAGTCCGGTGATATGCTTTTCTCGCATAAGATATACGTGTGCAAGCATTGCCACACACGTGACGCAAAAGGACGAGGAAAAAAAGAGAAGCAAAAGACAGAGCAGAGATCATATTTATATATATACGATGTACATGTGTGAAAAGAGATATTTCTCTTTTTGCTAGATGCCTATTATAAGTTTAAAATTCTTTTCCGCTAGTCGAAAGTTGATAATGTTTATATTCAGAACATATGTCGTTTTAATCTCTAAGTCGGTTGTTTTCTATACAAAAGCTTACATATTTTCGGTGTTTTCAGTCTAATTGTTAGCTAGTTATTTTTAGCTCGGTTTCTTAAGGTTTATAACAAAGCCTTTTATATCATCAGATAAAGCATGTCTTGTGGGTTGATTGTGGGTTGAGATGAGATGAAAGAACAACGTTATATTTCGTCGTTCTTTTTGTCTTGTTATTATAGTTTCCTTTCATTGTTACGGTTGATGTATAGTAAGACATGTGTTCCCACGAAAACAAAATGCTAAGGCGAAAGTGTCACGTCACTTTCATTCATTTCATATTCATTTCAATACTGTTTGAATCGGAAAAGAGTTCATTTTCGGTCTTTTACCTAAAATCCGTCTCTGTGCACACTGTGTGAGGATATTAAGCATTTTATCAATAATCTGACTGTAACACGGCTCTTGGTTAGATAATCTGAGTTTTTGAGTGAACTATTTCATCTTGAACGTTGATCGAAAATCTTGCGTGCTTACGTGTTTACAAGCAAACGCTATCATCAAAACAAAGTGATCGAAAGTTGTTATAATCGATACTAGATGCCCTCTGTATTCGTCCTAAAATAGCCTGTTTTGACTTATTTAGGATCAACATCTAATAGAAAAGCTTAGTCTAAAACCAGTTATGGGTGTTCGCTGTTGTTGCGGTGCATGAACCGTTAAACTTTGCGTACGCATATTATAAAGTGTATTATTGCATACAGTCACTATAAACGTCATCAAGTTGCTTTTAACATTGTCACACATAACTATCGCATTGATTGCCTTTTTACTTTGCTTTTTCAAGGAGATGTGTTCATTTTCTGAAAATATTTTCATACAATTTACGATTACGTTGCAGTTTTCTTTTATTAAGTGTCTGAATTTTAGATGCATGAAGTAGTTTAAGTACACTGCGGGCAGAAAAAAAAGTCTTTTTTTAGAGTCGTATTTTATAGGCGTAAAGAAAAGAATCAGAACAGACCAGGTAGAAAATGTTTCTTCTTTCTTCTATTACCGTTGAATAACGAACGAACGAATAAAGCTGAATGCTCGCAGCCTATCCTCGAACTCATAAATCAGTTCTCTTTTATTGCTCAAGTAGATAATAAGTATAAATTACTGAATCCTAAATTTTCGAACTATCGCAATCATTGAGAAAAGGGTGCAATTGACGGAGAGATTTTATGTGTTTTAGGATATCATTCACGAAGATAACAGTAATTGCAAAATAAGTAATAATATCTACTGCAGATTTCATATATGGATTGAGTAATGGGTTTTGTTTTTTCATAGACGATTTACAGCCATGCAGTGAAATTGAACATTTAATAGTACTTCAGAGCTTAACGAATTATCTGGTTTTTTTGCATAAATTTTTACGCACACTCGTTGATCATCAGCAGTTGTCAACTCAACGAAAACCATATGAAACACGAAAAATTGAACATTTTTTATATTTGCTAATGCAACAATGACAGACTCAAATCCATCAGTATCATTCATTAATCCAAGATTTTTGAATACGTAAGCGAATTCAAATATGAATTATAACTTTTTCTTTTATAATAATAGCATCATTTTGGCATATTTAATCTGCCATCAGCTTCAGGCCAAGCGTTATAACAAATATTTGCGCATGTCATTGCCGTAACATCAGTTAAGCCCCCGCCTCGTTAGAAACATAAATTTTTTTATATAAAGCTGATACTGAGCTAAACACACCCAAGCAAAAACGACCCAATTTTTTGGGTTATTTATCTAGATTCAGCTCCACGTACATCTAGATGCACGTGGACCTGAATCTAGATAAATAACCCAAAAAATTGGGTCGTTTTTGCTTGGGCATCATCAGATCGCCTACAGTATCTACTATTAGGAGTCAATGTTATATGGTCTTCATTGTAGAGGTAATAAGGTTTTTAGAAACGTTTTCTGAAAACCTTGAAGAGCTGACTTTTCGACAACATTTTACTTTTCAATAAAAAATAAATTCAAAAATATGCTCAATAATATCGGGATATAGAGCGAACATTTCTGACCAAAATTAGATATCTCCTAGCTCTAAATGCTGTTCTGATCAAGAGTTGTGAGAGTTTTGCTGGAAGCCCTAAAACATGCATTAAATACTGGTACCACTATATCTCGAAAGCGACCGTGACACCATTTCGTAACTGCAAAATTCTCCGATCAGGAAGCATCACAGAGAGCTTGGGGAGATCTTAAATTGAAACTGATGAATTTCCCGAAAGCTTCCAGGAAATTCGGTACCAGGCCTAAACAGTCAAAGATGAGAGTCTCGCTTAACTCCCATTTTGAAGAGAACACTTTGGACTATCAACCCATGAAAAAAAATCAAACTATTTGTACTTGAAGTTTTTGAGCTATGATATAGTTTTCTAAACACCTTCTGAAAAACCTACTTTAGAAAAAGATTTTGAAAATGACTTTCGTGATAAAAAAAATGCAGTCACGCCTTGGCTTTCAATTGGTGACCACAGCAAGCATTTACCACTTTCCAGTCGAAAGTTATTTAAGAAACATCCGCGTCTCTTCTTTTTTTACTGACGGTAGGAACTGTCTTGACTACTCGATTAACGTCTAATAGTTCGAATTCATTCGAGAGAAGCAAAAATTGTCTGCACATGCCAACGAGATAAGCCGCCGGCTACAAACTGTATTTTGAAGTGGGCTTTCGAAGCAAATACGTATTCAGATCTCGGCGATCGATTGTCTCAAAAACCGTGTTCCATTCCAAAATATCCGATAGCAGAAACCAGTTGCCTAGAATATTTTTAATACTGATTATTCCTTTAAGCCACGGATCTTGATCACACTTTTAGAAGATGCTGATCTTGTGAAAGTATGGTGAAGAAACTTTTTGTTTAGCTTCATCTAGCATGGTGTGTGAGATGTCGCCGCAGCAGTGGCCGAAATGGGACTATTCGTAGCTGCAAGATTTCTCAGTAACGAAACGTTGTGCACTGTAAAAGAAGTTAAGAAATCTTCAAGTTCGTTATTACGTGGACTGAATAGCTTCGGTATTATCTGAACAGTATCGTAAGAGCTGTGAATTTTGGCGTACTGTTAGTAGAGTACAGTACTACAGAGCACCCTCTAGAATACAATAAATAAAAATAATACCTAACCAACCCAAAAACTATTCAAGATTTAGACAGATATCGAAAATCTGTCAAGATTCTGCGAATTAATTGCTCTGATAGAACCAGTTACATATCTTGATCAAGTTTTTTCAAGACAGATTCTGCAACAAAACTTGTCCACAATCTTGAACTGCTAGATGATCTTGTCAGATATCTATAAATCTGCATAAGATCTTGAAAGCACTGAACAGAAGCTTAAGAAATCTTTTAAGTTTTTATTAAGATCTGTAGTCAAGCTTTTTTACTTGGGTACAAGGCTACAGCTCTCATTTTAGCTTATTAGTCTTATTATACTTTCGTATTTTATATGTGCCACAGTTTTAGCCGCTTAAGTGTTTTACTGCCTTTATTCCTTTTAGTTTTTTACTCTGCTATCATGATACAATAAATGAGATGAATATGAACTAAATATGATTAAAGAATGAGATATATATGGCATATAAATGAGTCGTTTATGGCTCATTTTTCATCTCATTTTTCATGACGTGGGCTTTACTCCCTTTACTTTTCTGTTTCACGCATATCAGAACTATTACGCTCACTCTTATTTTATAACTAAAAGTAGTAAAAGGAGTAAATGAAGTAAAAAAACTAAAAGAACTAAAATGAGTAAAAAACAAAAGGACATACTTAGTCATTTATCAGTATAGCTTTTTGATAACTAAAAAGCTCTCGGGACAAACTTTTTACCTTCTCCCATCTTTGTAGAAAAATCG